GACAAGGCACGATATAGAACCCGTAAGGGTAATATCTCTGTCAATGTACTTGGGGTCTGCGATAAAAATATGAACTTCGTCTACATACTATATGGATGGGAGGGGTCAACTGCAGATAGTCGCGTCTTGCGTGATGCAGTTACTAGGACGCATGGTCTACGTGTTCCAAACGGCATAGAATGATTCTATTACCTAAACACCATCCAACCTTCTTTTCAAATTTAACATAACAACCTTCTTTTTAAATTGAACATAACACAAGAATTTAATTATTTATTATTAATGAAATTGTGACATAGGAAATTATTACTTGGTGGATGGTGGGTACACAAATGGTCCCGGGTTTTTAGCACCATATAATGGTGTCAGATACCACTTACAAGAATGGGGTACAGGGTCACGAAGGCCACAAAACTTTAGAGAATTGTACAACCTTCGTCATGCTAAGGCTAGAAATGTAATATAACGTTCGTTTGGCATTCTGAAGATGCGATAGGAAATTCTTAGGAGGTGCTCATATTATTCCATTCGAACCCAAATTTGCATTGTCATGGCATGCGCGCTCATTCACAATTTCATACGTACATCAATGGCCACCGATCCCATGGAAGCGGTAGTTCCTAAGATACCAGATGATGGAGTCCCCGCAGCTACGAGTGAGGATGATTTGATAGACCAGGTGAAGGGTAACTTAGAATGGACAGAGTTTCGTGACCGATTGCCACAAGATATGTTTCGTGATTGGCAGGATAAATGATTTAGTTTAAGCACTCTTGTTTGAATATACGATAGTCGTTCAGATGTCTACTTTTTTTGGACCATTGCTTGTGTGACATTTTTCCCATACCTGTTTATTTTGTTGTGCGTGTTTGTTTTTGAATTCGTTTTACCTAGTGAAATGAATAATGTTTTTGCATTTAATGGAATGTGGTTGGAATTCATTTTAAGCAATCATTTCCCATTTGATCATTATGTTTCTTATGCAATATTTATGTTAACAACACAAACCAATCCTCTCGTGTAAACTCTTGTTTGAACAAGTATAGTGATGGATTACTCTTATTCCCAAGAAAGTGGCCGAGCGTCCTCCTCCAATACAACAAGACGACGTGTTTGAAGCCCACGTGAGGAGGTTGCCCTGATAGATATTTTAAAGGACTTGATTCTCGAGGGTTGGAAGGCAGATAATGGCTTTAGGCAAGGCTACAATTTTGAGATAAAGAAAAGATTAAAGGTGAAGTTTCAAGAATGTACCCTTCGAGCTGACCCACACATCAGCTCAAAAATACAAGTCTGGAGGAAGAACTACATGAGTGTGGCACTCATAAAAAGAACTTCAGGGTTCGGGTGGTGTGAGGTGACTAAAACTTTTTCGTTCGATGATAAAGTTTGGTTCCCATGGCTAAAGGTAAGTACGTTGCTTATACATCATTTCGTTTCAACAAAGTATGAAGGTTAAACTAATTCACTAGAATAGGACAAATTATATTACTGATATAAACAACAATTAATTTAGTGCTGCAGTGAAACAAGTTGGAGCTTTTTAACTTGATATGGTTTTTTCATGTTCTCTTTTTTATTTTAGCTTTGTGCTTTGTTCTGAAGCAGTGTTAGGTTTTTAACTTGAAACAAGTTGTATCTTTACAAATAAAGCACTTTGCAGTACCTTGTTTAGATGCACTTGTTGGCATGCTGGTTCTAATAATTGAACAATGGTAACACTCAATTGCAATTACTGTAGGTAGTTGTGAAGTTCATTTTAGACAAACATGTGTTATATGCACTTCATTAATTATTTTCTGTACACATTTTTGTAGGTGGATCCAAATGCAAAAACACTTAGGAAGACGTCGTTCCTGTATTTTAACGATTTGGCTGAAATATTTGGGAAGGACAGAGCTACGGGAGAAAACACACAATCCTTTGAAGATACAACTAATGAAGTTCCAGAGCATGACATGGAGGACCAACCGGACTCTGATAATGAAGAAGTTCCATCACAACATAACCTACGGGAGGAAAGCCCAGGCATTCGCATCGTTACCACTTCAGGTGCGGAGTCTGGGTCCGGTGTCAGGGCAGATAAGAGGCTGAAAAATGGAAAAAGGAAGGGAGTTGGTCAGTGGGAGGACCGTTTTTTGGATATCATGCAAACTTTTCCCAAAATACCAAAGAGACCTTGAAAGGGATTGCGTGTAGTCTTGGGGTTGCGTATGAGGAGGAAAAGAAAAGAAATGCGGTGTTTGACTCATTGTCTGATATGCATTTCCTCTCAAAAGAGGATAAAATGGTTGTGACGATGCGC